CTCAATGTGTGTCCTATCCACTTCCAGCGCTTCTTCCTGATTTCTTCCTCCATTGGGATCTGGTTTGTTCTCTCCCATGGTAGGTTGTTGCTGATAGTGTCTGGCCAACGGATCCGAAGTATTTTGCGTAGACAGCTGTTAATAAACAAGTGTATCTTCTGGATGATGGCTTTCGTAGTTCTCCAAGTTTTCGCTCAATACAGTAGAGCTGTTTTGATATTTGTATTAAATATTCTGACCTTGGTGTTGGTTGACAACTGTTTTGAGTCCCAGATATTTATATTACATATTCGGAAGCTTGGTAAAATAAACATATTCAAACCAACGATACTCAAGTTCTAAGAGCCATTAAACATAAGGATTAGTGTAAAACATCGAAAAATAGTATTGTTGTCTCAAAGTTTTGAAGTTCAGTTTCAAGTAAGACAAGCATTGCTAAGTGTTCACTATTTTAGAGGCAAATTGGTGAAACCATGTAATGATAATTTAGTCCAAATTGTTTCCATATAATTCAAATATCTTAGATGAGATTCATTTATTGACTAAGAAATGCCATGCTATTTGGATGTGAAGTTAATAAAACAAATGTAGTGTTAAACGTCTGCACACTTCATTTTCTATTATTGGACAAACAGTCAGTATAATTATATTTAACACAAAAGTTTGTAGTGTAATTTGTGAGTATGCATTTCGCTCTGCTTGGGACTAGTGTGCCAGAAATACCTGTAATCGTATTAATACCATAACTGAAGCAAACATAAAACCCATCCCTTAAAGTCCAGAAGCATTATCTATATTTAACTGTAGATTATTTCGTAATCATGAGGCTACTGAGTTACAATATGCAAGTTATGCTCAATTAAATAGATATATTATCAGTTCTAGGTATAGTCGATGATAATCTCGAACATAAACAAGTTTATCTAAATGACTAATCTCAGATGAAACGAAATACACATTCTGAGTTCTACTGCTAGCATTCATTCGAAGTTTATCTAATCGGTAAACGTATTCGACATCCAACTATCTACTTAAATAGTCTATTTGAAAACGGGGGTGGATCAGGTCGGTCTCAAATATAACCACAGAAAAACTCAGTTCCTTATATTCCATGAACATTATGGATAACTTACTTGAATTCAATATGTACAAACATTTTAGATTAAGAAATTTACTATTTATTATCATTACAAAACATAACATAATATGGTTTCTCATTACAGGATTTTCATTCTATGCATCGAAAGAATAACCATTTATAAACCCACCATCTCTTGTCGGTAGACATCTAAAAGTAGTTGAAATCTGAATGTAACACTGTTTATCAACTAGTAATATAAATTAACCTAATCATGACCGTTAATCTAATTGGAACTTTCCCAAAGAGCTATCCCCGAAACTAACTAGTATATAGTAATTAGAGAGAAAGAAATTATGATCATCCACTTATGTATGAAGCAATTAAAAGTAAACACTGAATAAACATTAAAAAATTACTTGCTTCAAACATCTATGAAGTCAATCAAAAAAGTTTATCTAGATTATTTACAGGAATAATAGATAGGTTATCTTTCGAACAAATTATTTCTAATATTATCATTGTAGTGAAATTTATTCATGATAATTGCTATGCTTTTTAAATCACTCATCCTGATAACCATCATTAGATAACTCACAAAGATGTATAAATTTCAGTGAACAATGCAAATTGTTGATCACAGTTTATTATTGTACAGCACAAATTACAAAGTCACCCAAAGTAAATACGAGTAGAAATGCAAATGAATAAGAATAGACTAATGAATCATCAAATGATTTAATCAACTAAAGTTAAAGTTATTAAGAAGAATATGTATGTAGGATGTAATATATGACCAAGTATATATGCATATGCAGACGTGATAACAGTAATAAAAAAAAGGTATAGACAAATTGTAAATGACCTAATGACATTATTAATAGAAGAGTTCAACAAAATTAAACATATACAAACTCAAGTGAAAGTAATGTGCTATAAGATAATGATCATTATGAGGAAAATAAAATTCTAATAACAAATGCTTACACTTTTGACATTTTTACTTTGTATATAGTTCAATTATAATCACAAATAGGAGGTTAATTGAAACTGAGAGAATATCTGAACTGCGTTATGTTTCTTGTCAATAAATACATTCTACTGTCTATTTTCATATAGCTTGAAAAAATTGTTTATATTAATTCTATGATTATTATTATTATACATATTCGTATACATGTATCTGTATGTAATAGTATGTAGATATGTATTGTTATACTATCGAATAATGAGTCAAGTACAATGTAGATATACTTTCGGTAAAATGAAAAGTGCATTATTTTATTGCTCCTAGTTAGATAATTGTAAATAATGTTTGTTAATGAAATGTGTCATGTAAATAGAATAGATAGTTAGAGAAATGATAAACTTTCAAAAGGGGTTTTGTGGAGATTTTAGTAATTTCGATGGTTGAAATCACGAATAAATTGAAGCTAGACCACTATGGATAACCTGGAAGCACTGGGCGACCGTTTCGTCCTAGCATGGGACTCCTCAGCAGTGCGCACCCACTGTCTCGCCCCCCCCCCGCGAGATTCGAACCCAGGACCTATCAATCCAGGCGCAATTGCGTGGATTGGTTGAAGTTAGACATTAACACAGTTAAGTGACGTCTCAGTGATCTAATGTTTGAGCGCTCGCACGCGAGATTGATAGGTCCTGGGTTCGGATCTTGCGGGAGGCGTGGCCGTGGATGAGCACTGCTGAGTAGTCTCATACTAGGACGAAACGGTCGCCCAGTGCTTTTAGGTTTTCCATGGTGGTCTAGCTTCAATTGACTTGTGGTTCCAACTATTGAAGTGATAAATTATTATTTAAAATAAATAGTCCATTTGATAAATTTCGATAATGCAATGAGGAGACGAAATTTATCAGGTCTATTGAAGCCTTGGCTGTACGGAAATCGAAACCCCGTTTATGCGTTCAAAAACAATTTGTCCTTACACTTAGCCTACCCTGGTAATACTAATTTATTATCCAGAGTGGTAATCACATTGTTTTTGTGTACTTTATTATTATTATTTCTTACCTTTAACCTGTCTAGTTGACTTCTTAATTTTCATATAAAAATGTCTTAACAAGTATATGTGTGATCAAATTGTTCGGTGATTATTCAGCAGAACGATCTGTTACCAAGATTAGTTATATGAGATCGTATCCAGTGAATCCAACAGTCAAACTAACAGATGAGGGGCGACGCAATACTATTTAGTTAGTTCATGATACTGAATGACTACTATTTTTATGTTTATCAATGGGAAAATTATTGGTGGATACCATCAATTGTGTGACTGCAGCTGTACTCCCCAAATCGTAGATGGTCTACGTAGTGAATCAATCCCAGCTGAACCAAAGGTGTAATCTAAATGGCAGTGGAATAACGCCAGGTTAAATCCCACGTTAGTCGATGAACACAGTAAGTACATGAAACATTCGATTTATCAGGAATCAGAACGCGTGAGCATTAACCTGGTGACCAAGGAGTTTAGAGAAACTCTTGAGTAAAACTCACTAATCAAGGCGATTTCAGCACCGCCTGAGTACTTCAATATCTGGTGACCAATGACACCAAAATGTTTTTTTGCTATACATAAAGACTAAATTCGAAAAATGGCCATTGCATGTTGACTTCAGCATCATGCTGTTGTTTCCACGTGTCTTTCATTATTCATTAGATTGTGGATTGATATCTCTAGTGTAATAGTGGTGAGTTGTTGCAACAAGTATAAACTAGATCACAAACCAATCGATTTGTTTTGGAACAAAAGAATTCTAAAACAGTACCTTACATGCGACAAATGAGAATATTTGGTTTGGTATATTTTCGCCTAGCACCTGACAATATTTAACGTCTCAGACGATGTAGTTATGAATTTTCAAGACAATGCCGAATGTTTCATGTAGTAGCATCAAATCAGCCCGGAAAGCCGTGACAAATATTAGCAACCAAATGTCAAGATTACTTGTGATTTCCTTATGGCCAAATTGAAGCTGTGACATATTTACTAAACCTAGACGACTTGAGACTAAAAGTATTTGATCAAAGATTACTATGAAGGAGTCATCACATGTGCAGTAACGACTGAACTGCTAAATTCAGATGAATAAGAATCCTATGTAGAATGGGCAACTTAATTATTATTATTAATTAATGGCTTTATTCAATATTATATTTTGGTACAATATAGAATTCTCAGCACAGGACATCAAGAACCAACTAAGCTGATTGAATTTGTTGTACAAGCCAAACGAATGAGAAACAAGATACAAGGTGCTGACCGAGGTAGTTATAAAATGTTACTATAATGAGCACATGAATACAAAATCCTAACTAATGTATTCGATGGTCATGTGGAAGCGTGTTTATTCCTAAAAAGGAGGCCTCTATGATCCTAAAACTGATTATTATGAAGTCTAAACAACAGTCACAAATCAGCTACTGTCATGATTAAACGTTTTTGAAATTTCACAGCTCCAACAAAAAAAATGTATATAAATATGTAAGCTAACTGGTCTAACGAAAAAAGTCATTAATTTAACTAATAGAACACTAATTACTGCATTTAACAACAATCTCAAAGGAATTACTTTCAAAGTGACAATGAGATTTCACAAATCAAAACAAAAAAATAATAAAAAAAAACTGGGAAGTATCAAAAATTTAGAGGATGATTAAATAAATGATAATAATCTTTATGACAAATGAAAATCTGAAAGTTAAAATTAAATCAGAAAACATGACCAAACTAAGTTGACGTGGTGAGTGTAATGTAGTCAAGTATAACGGGTAAAAGTAAGATAATTTCTGTAGAAAAAGTGAGTTTATGTTGTAGAAATGGGAACACATAAAAGTTCAACACCCAATTTATTTAATCAAGCTGAATCTACGAGTTAACTATTTTACAGTTTTAAAATTTTGACATTAAACAGACCTAATTATAATGGAGTCACGAGAAGCGCCTGTTCCAATCCAACGTATAGGTATATTAAGCAATTTCTCAACTGTTTCTACAAAAACTTTGGCAGCAGTTGGTAGTTTCTCATAAACACGACAACCATGTGTAGACGTTTTCCATCCAGGAAGAGTTTCATAAACCACAACTACACGATTGAGAACAGAAGAGTCAGATGGAAAGCTGTCAAGTTCACATCCAGTTTCTGGATCAACGTACGCTTTAGCTATTTTCACCTTTAATATGAATTATAAATGAAAAAAAAGTTAAGCAGACTGTCTACGAGGCAATTTAAAAATTAAACAAGATTTATAGAATAGAATAAAATCCTTTTATTAAGACATTTTCCAGATGTATGAAAAAAGTAACACTACATTTTCAAACACGTTTCGTTTTCAAACGATATTCTATTTATTTTCTTTATGCACTTTTTCTCCAAACGTAGGTTCACACATGTATCAACATAAAGTATTAAAATCAGAATTTCTCAGTTTGATTAATAATACACAGAAATAGAGATATCATAACAAAGGGAGCTAGTTCAAGCCGGAATAACTCAGTAGTAACGTCTTAAATTGTGAAGGTAGGTGATTCTGGTTTTTAATCCCACAAAGCTCATCGGTTCCTTCAAGATTCCACATACGCTTTATTGACATGTGTCGACTAGCACAAAACCTAGGTCCATGGCTTTCTGCCGACTACCTCAAATTACCCAAAACATTGAAGTTTTACTCTGGTAAATGACTAAGCATAAGAAATGACCAGCAACTGAAAAGCTAAGATTTGATATCATTTTATTATATGGATTGATGAATTCCTTAACAGTTGACATATTTCCTGGGAATCTCCTAACTTTTCTTTGGATGTAGGTTTTATTCGAATGAAAAGTGCTAATTATCAGCTACATTTATAACTGCTAAGAGGAAAATAATTCGAAACTTAAGGAATTTTCCAAATTTACCATAGATATTTTCTTAACAATAGTTGTATAAATCAATCCGACTGGTTTCAGGAAGTTAAGGCTTTTTGTAATGATGTTAACATTAATGTTGACATACGTATGAAATTATTCGATGAAGAGGTATCATCTAAATAAATTTTCACAACACCACATGTAATTCCCATTTGAAAATAAATTTATTTAGGTTGGCATGATGTTAAGGTATTCTCTAGATTGGCCATAAAATAATCAGCCAAGAGGGGATCCAGGGATGAACTCATTGCAAATCAATCAGTTTGTTTCAGTCAGTTATTAACAACGTAGAACTTCGTTCGTACGTACATCAGTTCGAGTTGCCATACCACATTAGCACAGAGATGCAGTTGTCGATTCAAATCCCGTAGTGGTAGAGGTAGTAAGAGTATAAGCAGTAATCGGAAAGACTAGGGTTTGAAGATGTTATTCAAGGAGTACCATACAGTGAAATAAATTTGAAAAGAGAAAAAAAGAGACAAGGAGAATTTAGGAGATTAGAATTTCGGAGAACACAAAGAGTGGATGCACCTGCGCCATTCCAAACGATTTTGAGCCATGTCATTCAAGGTCTCTAACCATCGGTTGCTATCGTCTCACGGTCCCCAACCAGGTAGTCTACACCTACCAACATGGCTCAGTCCACTTGTCAGTGACTTCATGGATTCGTGCCATGTTCTGGTCTGGCCGCCACTAGCTTTCTTCCAACCTACTCCTACACCATAAAACATCGCACGTCCAGGCAGTCGGTCGTTGGGCATATGTAACACGTGTCCCAGCCATCTCAACTGATGAAGTTTCACTACTTCATCAGTTGATTTGCCATCCTTACCTAGTAACCGGTTCCTAACAACTGTGTTACTTACTCGGTGGTCCCAGGATATACGAACAATGTTTCGAAGACACCTATGATCAAATACTAGTAACCTACGAATATCCTCTACTCTTACCGGCCATGTTTCACTGCCAGCATCGCAGCAGATGCTGGTTGTCCGAGGGAAACACCTTACTGACGTCACAACCCTCTACAATCAGTAGTACCACTTCGCCCTCAGACCTTGAGTTGCTGCTTTTAGTCTTACCGTTCTCCAGTCAACCTGCCTGGCATGGTAGTGTAGTGTTGGTCATTAGTTTTAGCCCATAATATATCTTATTCCAGTTTCCGGACATTTCATTCTATTCATTCTACTCGAGTCATATTTTGACCTTGTCAATTATTCGCTTATTAGCCTTGACTGTTTTCATATGAGCGTATATGTATGTACACTTCATGACTCCCATGACTCATCACATATCTGTAGTTTATTTTGTCTGCCTATAAATATTGAGTAATGCCCGGCTTGAAATGGAGTTGGCTTCCCAGCCATCTTCCATGCGTGTCATCTTGCTTGCCTTTCGGCACAACTCTTCTATGCTTGTTTAACGCATCTGTACATTTGGATATATGTGTGTGGTCTCGTAATAAACGTAATCAACACTTCGTATTTGCCTTCTGATTAATAAACCGTTGGGACGTTATATAGAACGGTTATCAAGACGAGCTGTATACGAAGTTTAAGGATTATATCGAATACCGACCACCACAGTAGAACCTACAAGAACATATGTTTCAGTCAATATAGCTCGGTTAGGTCATCACAATAGGCAAGCCCGACAACCGCGCCAAGGTAGAAGCTACGGTCGGGGTTTGTCCACAGAAATCATTATTAAATATGAATTGCACATTGGCAGTACATTATAGAAATAGCTCTTTTAGATGTTTTAGGATACAAATATCAAAGTTGTTACTTTCAATATAGTCACATAAAAACACAGTTTCCGTGAGTGAGAAGTGACATTAAATGAAATCACTTTTCTGCCATTTCCATTGATATTTCTAATTGAGCCGACAAATCTGAAGAAGTGGCTCAAACTGAGTCACGAAACAACAGAAAATCTGAAAACTTTGTTTTTCTACTCATCTGGATATTACAAATATATTAGTCGTATTTACAACAACCTACCCAATTCTCAATTTTTTTTTAATTATCAAGTCAAACCTTGGTAATGACACCTATTATTTGTGAATTTGACAGAACGTCAATTAGTAACATCTCATGACGCCTTGTACGATGGACAGAGTTGTTTGGGGGACAATTTAGAAGACCTGTCGTCCTCGCAATATTGATCAGACTGCCCTGTTCTCTCTGGCAAATGATGAATGGTACACCTAATGAAGAGGTCCTCAAATAACTCCTACTTAACGAGCACCACAAACCACTATGGTCATAAGACTTATCCCTGGACCTTTGTGGGAACGGTGACGAACTTCTGTTCACGCAACTGACTGGATTGTATTGTAAGGTCTGGGAATTAGAAAGTACTCTAACATCCTAGAACTAAATAACCGTCATCCCCATCTCTGATATGAATCTACGTCATCTGTGCAACAAATGTCAGAGATATATTTACTTCCGATATCATCCAAATTATTCGTTTTCGTTATATTCCAAAGATCATCCAAAACCTATGAAAGCCTGACTAGCGATTAAATGGTCAGCTTCCGTTTTGGTCGAGAATGTATTGTTCATATCCTCATCCTTCGCCAAATGTTAGAGCACCACTACACATTTCTCAGGCCAACAATCATTGTGTTTCTTAATATCGAGGTCGCCTTTGATTCGTTGGGCAGGACTGTTCTTTAGGATCGTTTATTGAAGAACGGTGTCTGACAAGTTTATTAACATCTTGAAAGCTCTATATACTAACACCTCAGGTAGAGGCAGGGCATACAACCACCTCTCTTCACTGTTATGTTCAAGCAGTGGGGTTAGGCAGGATTGTCCAATCTCACCATTCCACCACAGCCTTGATGGACACCACTTGAGGTTGCAAAGTCAGATGACAGATCGCCATAAGCTCTCACTCGACTTACTACTCTCGTTCACCTCTTTTTATTTCTTTACTATGTTTTTGGTTTTATACTCCCCCTACATCTATTTCTTTGGAAAATCGTTTCCTTATTTATGTGGCGCATATTCTTATTTTGATGCCTAATTGTACTAGTACTCGGTAATGAATGGAAAAATAATTAAATAACGATAATGTTAATTCACTAATGTAAAGTTAACTACCTCTTCTAGGTCATCCAAGACGTCAATCTTCGTCAAAGCCAGGGCGTTAAAATCATTGATAATATGTGCATATCGTATAACTACTGTATCTAACCAACCGATCCGTCGTTTACGTTTAGTGGTCACACCCCATTCACATCCTCTCTTTTGAATGAACTCACCAATCCCATCTAATAACTCAGTAGGAAAAGTACCAGAGCCGACCCGTGTTGTATAAGCTGATAAAGTAATGAAAAGAATAAACACTGTGAGTTCATAAAAGTGATAAGTTCTGGATATAAACAAGCAAAACAGTTAATAATAACTTCAGTACATAAATATAAACCAATATTGTACGTTCTCAGTTTTTTAATATATGCCATGGACCTGATAAACCCGCCTGTAGCGCTCCTAGGGTTACCGCAGGTTCCAAGCCCAGGTAAAGGGACTGAGTGGGTACGGGGTCAGTAACCCTATCCCGTAAGAAACAACCTTACTAAAAAACGCTAACCAGATTAAATAATTTAAGCCACTTAAACTCTGTCCTCAGAATTGAAAAACCTTCATTTAGAAGGATTATGACGCCTTATGAGGAAACCCAAGGTTCTTTGAAAATCACGAGGCCGATTACTCTTCTAACAACCAGAGCAATAATTAATATTAGTACATGGAATATTCGGACGGTATATGAGACCGGGAAGACCAATCAAATAGCTGAGGAAATCAGGAGATACAACTTGTCGGTGCTCCGAATCGGTGAAACCCATTGGACCCAAGTCGGACAGCAAAGGCTAGATACGGGTGAGTTGCGGCTGTAATCTGGTCATGAAGAGGGAAATGCTTAGCACACACAGGGATTTGCTCTGATGCTGTCCATAGAAGCACATAATGCACCCACAAGATGGAAGTGTCAATGGATTCAGAATCATCAAAGCATCTTTCAAAACAAAGAATGAGGGAATCATGATGAATTTCATCCCATGTTGTGCACCCATCAATGATAACAACAAAGACGACCAGTTTTACGAGAGGCTGTAATCAATCACATAGAAGTGCCCAAGAAGGGATCTCACCATCCTGATGCGAGACCTAAACGCCAAAGCAGGAGTCGACAACACCGGGCATCGGGATATCATGGGAAGACATGGACTAACTGGGATAAAGGAACGAGAATGGTGACTGATACGCAAACCTATGTACATTCAACAAATTCGTTATCGGCGGCACAATATTCCCACACAAAGCTACATGGGTCTCACCGGATCACACCACGGAGAACCAGATAGATAGATAGATAGATAGTCAGTGGAATACATGAGAAGTAGAAGAAAAGCTGACGTAGCTTCAGATCACTACCTACTTGGTGGTCAACAAGATGAAAATGGAGCTAAAGAAGCACTGAACAACAAGGAGAACAGCGTTAGAAACGTTCAATGCAATCTTACTTCAAGATACCAACAAACCCAACGAATTCAAGATATTTCTCAACAACAACAGTCAGTCAGTCAGTCAGTTATTAACAACGTAGAACTTCGTTCGTACGTACATCAGTTCGAGTTGCCATACCACATTAGCACAGAGATGCAGTTGTCGATTCAAATCCCGTAGTGGTAGAAGTAATAAAAGTATAAGCAGTAATCGGAAAGACTAGGGTTTGAAGATGTTATTCAAGGAGTACCATACAGTGAAATAAATTTGAAAAGAGAAAAAAAGAGACAAGGAGAATTTAGGAGATTAGAATTTCGGAGAACACAAAGAGTGGATGCACCTGCGCCATTCCAAACGATTTTGAGCCATGTCATTCAAGGTCTCTAACCATCGGTTGCTATCGTCTCACGGTCCCCAACCAGGTAGTCTACACCTACCAACATGGCTCAGTCCACTTGTCAGTGACTTCATGGATTCGTGCCATGTTCTGGTCTGGCCGCCACTAGCTTTCTTCCAACCTACTCCTACACCATAAAACATCGCACGTCCAGGCAGTCGGTCGTTGGGCATATGTAACACGTGTCCCAGCCATCTCAACTGATGAAGTTTCACTACTTCATCAGTTGATTTGCCATCCTTACCTAGTAACCGGTTCCTAACAACTGTGTTACTTACTCGGTGGTCCCAGGATATACGAACAATGTTTCGAAGACACCTATGATCAAATACTAGTAACCTACGAATATCCTCTACTCTTACCGGCCATGTTTCACTGCCGTAAAGTAGGACGGAATGAACTCAGTCAGTCAGTCATCTACAATGTAGGACCAGGCACATATGTGCATCGGTCCAAGTTGCCATACCTCATTAACACAACAAGATGAACACTGGATTCATAGAAGTAGTTAATTCAGTGGTAGTAATATATAGAAGAAAGATTGCATAAAAGGACATAGTAAAGGAAGAAAGAATTAGTTCCAAGAAAGAAAGATATGAAACGATTTTAATCCCACAGTTTAAGGGAAGACAGAGAGTGTATACACCGACGCCATTGTGATCGATCCTCAGCCATGTCACCAGGAGTCTCCAACTATTGGTTACGATAGTCCCGAGGATCCCAACCGAGTATTCTGCATCTACCAACATGGCTCAGACCATAAGTTAGTGTCTTCAAGCACTGATGCCACGTTTTGGTTTGGCCGCCCCTAACTTTCTTCCAACCATCTCGAACATTAGTCAGCATTAGGCGTATTGGTAATCGGTGTTCAGGCATACGTAACACGTGGCCCAACCATCTCAGTCGACGAAGATTCACAACCTCATCAACTGATTTACCATCATTCCCTAATACCCCGCGTCTAACCTCACTATTACTTACCCGGTGATCCCAGCAGATGCAAGTAATATTTCAAAGACATTTGTGATCAAATACCAGTAACTTACGAGTATCTTCAATTTTTAATGGCCATGTTTCGCTGCTGTAAAGTAAAACAGAGCGAACTGCCGCGCAGTAAACACGTCCTTTGGTTGGTAGACGGATATCGCGCATACGCCATAAATGAAGCAAGTCGGCAAAAGCTAGTCGATTCTTCTGTATCCGTACTGAGATTTCGTCACACACCAGACCACAAGGGCTGATGAGACTCCCAAGGTAAGTGAATCGGTCGAAACTATGTCATCGGCATATTCTAAGTCAACAAGTGAATTTCCTGGAGAACTTACATTAACTTGCCATTCAGGTCGACTGGAGATCATGGGAAACCGAAGTGTAGCTAAAGGCCAGTTGAACTGATCCCTAAAGTGTTCTGTCCATAGATCCGATCCCCTGGATTGAGGATGAATAATATGTCCATCTTTTTCCGAGATAGTTTCGCTAATAGTTGGGTTCCTAATACCGGTTTCCTCAACAAGTCTGAACAGTTGTCTGGTGTTACCTATTGCCACTGCCTGTTCCATCTCTCTTGCTTTCGCAACCCACCACTGTTCACGATCATTGCTTAGACTTCTTGTCAGCTTGCGCTTAAGCTGATTTCGCTCTTCATTATGTTCAGAGCCAGGTGGAATGAGTTTCCGAGCATCTATCAGTGAGATAAATACTGCTGAGATCCAGTGTTTCTTCCTAACCTTGTGGTTTACCTTACTAGCAGATATCACTGCTGTTTCCACAGCTTTTCGGATATCATTCCATGCTGCCTCGAGGTGGGCATCACTTACATGGCTGCCTAACTGTTTTTCTAGTTTTCCTGAGACATATTCTTAGCTTGGTTATCATTAAGTAGGCCCCTAAGAGGTTTCCTTGCAGTATCTTTCTTACGTCCAGTAAGACGCAAGCAAATACGCGCTCGCACTAGAGCATGATCTGAATCTAGGCATGTGCTCCAGAATGAGCGACAGTCTTCTATCGAGCCCCTCCATCGGTGGCTGATAGCGACGTGATCTATTTGGATCCAACGTTGGGACGAATTAGGGGGTCGCCATGTTAAAAGATGTTTTACCTTATGCCTAAAGTTAGTATTTGCAAGGAACAGGCGGTTATCTGAGCATAGCTGCAACAGACGGTCGCCATTATCTGTTCTTTGAGCCACGACTCCATAAGATCCACCCAGGTGTCTTTCCCTTTCGCTTAGTTTACCTACTTGAGCATTAAAGTCACCAGCCACCATTACTACATCAGAGCGCCTAACTTTTTGGGGGAGGTCAGAAAGCTTTATGTGAAACTCATCCTTTACATCGTCTGAGCTGCAGTCAGTGGGAGAGTAGGTAGAGACGACGAAGAGGCAACAACGAGTGTCCCCATCTTTCCGAGTCATTGCTGTTCCGTTAAGTCGGACAGCGCACAAACGACTGTCTAATGGGATCCAGTCTAAGAGAGCCAGTTCTTCACTAAGATTCAATGTTATAGCTACGCCAGCGAGGCTATGGGAAGCAGCATCAGGGCTAATTAGAGGTTGTGGTCTGACTTCATTACAGTGATTACCTTATCGAGCTACATTTACATACAGACGGACACTTTGTTAAAGACTAGTTTATAGTAGAAACGAAGCTCTTCACACGGAGTGCGGTCAGTATTAAAGCATTATCTTGTATTCGGAAGGCCATATGTCATCCGTATACTATAAGTAAAATAGCTAACCTCTAGTTAGGAGAATAATTCCTGAAAACTCGAAGATAAATGGTTACTTCTGTTAACATGTGTTTGATGGAGCTGAACAGCTGATATCCTTATAGGATACCTATTTTAACACTCCCAGATAAAAACTCAACGAATACCTTCACATGACAAATCTAAAAAGACAGGCTTTAGTTAAATAAATACACTTGCGCACCATCCTTTTTCAAGTCAGAAACTCGGATAAACGAATCCAAATCTCTTTATCAAATAAAGAAAAACAGATGGAGTGGGTTAGTTGATGTGAGAACCAGTGTTTCAGTGACCGCTGTAACTGACTTATTCATCAAGTCCGGACACGTGTGAGGGTCAATAATACTGCCCAGTAGCCGAAGTCGAAGTAGGTGGTGTAGGGTGCTAAACCGTAAATTAGTGAATTAGTCGAACGCTTTAACTATTGATACACAGCTTCGACGATGAAAAAACTAACAGAATTCACAGATAGTTGTGTCAGAGTAAGGTTGCTGTCAAACAGAAGACAGTGAAGAAAAAAAATTACAATGAAATATATGAAACGAATGAGACTTGAAAATAAATACAGGAGAAAAACAAGCAATTTTACCTTTGATAACACCATATACAGGACCAACACGAGAAGGAGAAAGCCCCAGGCCAGTACATACACCTCCAACACTACAATTCGAAGAGGTGACATGAGGATATGTTCCAAAATCAATGTCCAGCATGCAGGATTGGGCGCCCTCCACCAAAATATTTGCCTGCTTACTTTCCACAAGTTTATTAATCAGTGTGACCGAATCACATACCATCCCCGACAACTTCTGTCGATAGGTTTTCAGTTGCTAAAATAAAATATATTTATATGAAAATTGTATATATCCATATATTACTAGTGCCTTCAGTACTGAGATCGTGAAGTGAACAATTTAAACAGTTCCTTATCGATCTGTTTCCTAAGAAGTTAAAAAGACAAATATTAACGAATTATTACTCAGTAACCTGTCTGATAACTCCGCCTGTAGCTCTTTTAGAGTTAATGCCGGTCCCAAACCCGGGTAAAGGAGGAGGGTTGGGCATGGGGTTAGCGACCCCATCCCGTAGAAAACTAACTCGCTAAAAAAACGCTTACCAGAAAAAATAATTCAAACCATCTAAACTCTGCCCTGGGAGTTAGAAGGTCTTCATTTAGAAGAACTATGACGCCTCATGGTGAAAACCGAGTTCCTTCGGAAGCCACAAGGCCGATGCCCCTTCTAACAACCAGGGCAACAATCTTTAAAGGTACATGGAACGTCCGAACAATGTGGGAGACCTGGAAGACCAGTCAAATAGCAACGGAAATGAGGAGATACAATTTGGCAGTACTGGGAATCAGCGAAACCCATTGGACCTAGGCTGGACAACAAAGGCTAAATACGGGTGAGATGCTACTATACTCCGGTTACGAAGAAGAAAATGCTCCACACACTCAGGGAGTTGCTCTTCCAATCATCCCCGGTCTCATGTTTAGGTCCCGCAAGAAGAAATATTATTCCTTAATATGGCCAGCTAGTGTTAATTGCTCACACCTTTAAAACTGCTTCACAACATTTCACGTTCACGAGGACCTTTATTGCAAGTTAGTGAAAAATTAACTCAAATCTAACAAAATTTTCCCAATGAAATACTGTACTTGAAGTGATAGTCACTCGAATAATTAAACAGTCACAAAATTACGGAAGTGGGAACTTCAAATACGCACTAACCTCTAATGATTCTTCAACACTAGTCTCAAGTTTTGGATATCTTCTTTTAACATAATTTACTAGTTCTCTGTATTTTGCTGTGAACTGTACCCAGTCTCCCATGAGATCACATACACGCAGACCATTGCGAGTTACTTTTGAAGAATACGTCGGACCAATACCTTTTTTAGTCGTGCCAAGAGAATTTACACCCCGTAATTCCTCCTACCAAACATATTAATGAAACACGATTCCATTACCTCCATGCGGTCGATATCTTGGTGGATGTCAAATACCAAGTGGCACCTGTCAGATATCCGTAAACGAGAAGCTACATCCAATAACCCTTTGCTCACAGCCTCATCTATCTCCTTGAAATGACAAAAATAATATTAAACAGAGTCTCACTTGGAAAAGGGCTTGCAAATTGACAACAACACCGTTGCCAATCACAGCTAAAACATTAGGGTTTACTATACCACTGGGCAATAGATGAAAGAAATACTCTTGTCCTCCAGCAACAACGGTATGGCCTAAAAATCTTTTGAAGGAACTTTAACCAACCTGCATTGTTTCCCCCTTGACACCTACAGACCACACCAGAGGACTCACTCAAAAGGTCCACCAACTTCCCTTTCCCTTCATCTCCCCACTGAGCACCAAGAACGACTGATACCAATCCTTCAGCGCTTTTAGTCATTGGAGATTAAAACGAGTGTTTTGGAGCTCTTTAGTGCTTCTAAGAGTTAATAGGTATACGACAATACACGGCGAGCCCTCCAGATTCAGCGACAACACATAACGCGCTCTTCGCAAAATGACCTTGATAAATCAAAGTCCCTCTTACTAAAGGCCACTCATATATGTAATATTGAACTTAATGTAGTATAGTGTAGCTACTTATAATCATATGCGGGTTAACATAATGTGCACGAAAGTACAAATATTTCAAATGTTTCTTATGGTTGTGGACGTTAGGGTAGGGACTTTCGTTCAATGGATTTCCATATCTAATAGCAGTAGACCGACGATGACTTCAGGTAGGATTTCAAGGTATATTCAACTATCACAAAGGAAATATCAGCAAATTAACTTACCAATTATAATAATGATGCAACACGAGACCTTTAGAATAAATATATCGTCTCTTCTTTAAGGACCCCTGGGAAGTCGCTTTAAATACTGTCGTCAGATATTCAGTTTCAGTTTGGGAAGGACAGGAGGCTTGATGGCCTGTGTTAGTCCAGGCAATGGTGGTCTATCAGTTGATCCAACTTTCTTTTGAAAGAGTCGACGGATGGAGCCTCAATCACGTGCTGAGGTACTGAATTCCACTCGTTGATGATTCGATGGGAAAGTCGATAGTCAGCTGACAAGTAATTTGTTTTCGGCTTGTGAACTTTTTGGAGTGTCCTCGTAAATTCTCTGTTTTGGAGGACAAGAAAAATGAGGGCATATCAGGTGCGAATTTATACTAAGCAATATGTAGACTGTAATCAAGTCGCCTCTAGTTCTACGATGTGACAACGGGAAAAGGTTTAGCTTGGCCAGTCGAGCATCATACGGAAGCTTCGCTATTCGGGGAATCAGCTTAGTTGCTGTTCTCTGAACCTTTCCCGGAAGCTCACTGTCTTTTTTTAAGCAGGGGCCAGCTACTTGTATGCAGTACTCAAGTTTAGGACGTACGAACACTGTATACAAAGTCAAAAACGTTTTAGCGTCGAAATGACTAAAATCCCTACGTATTGACCATAAGGTTCTAAAACCCTTGACCGCTATTGCACGGCAGTGTGCAGTAGTCTTTAAGTCTTGACTAACGATAACTCCTAAGTCATTATATGTCTGGATGACAGGTAGCTCAGTGTTATTCATCGTGTATGTATCTGTACCTTGATGACCGATATGCATCACAACACACTTGGAAGTATTTATTGGCAAGTGCCATGTTTGAGACCATTCAGATAATTTCTTCAGGTCATTTTGAAGTTCTAAGCTATCACTCTTACATCGTATCGTTCTCCATACCTTGACATCGTCAGCATATAGCAAGACCGATGATGATAGGAGATAAGGAAGGTTATTTACATACAAGAGGAATAGCACTGGCCCAAAACTGTACCCTGGGGCACTCCACTAAGCACAGTTTCCCAGCTAGATAACTTTGAGTTCACCCGTACTCCTTGTTGGCGCCCAACTAGGAAGTCTTTTATCCACATAAATAGATTGCCTCCAACCCCGACATTTCTTAACTTATATAACAGTCGGTTGTGAGGAACTTTGTCAAAAGCTTTGCTGAAATCAATGAAGGCGACGTCTACAGGTAGCTTTTGGTCCTTAAGAGCTCACCAGCTTTCACGAGCCACTAATAAGTTAGTGAGACAAGAATAACATATTCTGAAGCCGTGCTGCTTCTCCGAGAGGATCTGGTTTTTATCGAGATACTTAAACAGCTCCTTCCGAACAATCTTTTCTAAGATTTTAACAACCACACTAGTTAGACTAACGGGCGGTAGTTCTCAGATTTGTGTTTCGTACCTGTTTTGAAGACAGGACTTACTTTGGCGTTTTTCCAGTCTTTGGGTAAACGACCCTGCGTTACGGATAGTTTAAAGCATATACTTAAAGGGTTCGCAACGAAGTTAGATAATTCCTTCAGTAGCCTAGGATGTAATTCATCGGGCCCCGTGGATTTACCTATGTCAAGCTTATTTAGTAGACCAAAGACATCGAGTTCTTTAATGGTCACGCTATCCAGTGTATGTGTGGGGGGATCTGTATGCGCTGATGGGAAGGGTGCTTCTATGGTATATACGTTGCTAAAGTAGTTCGAGAACACTTGAGCCTTACCAAAGTCGTCCTCCACTAATGATGAAGCAGTACTGTCTCCCCATAGAGCAGGAATATTTCCTCTTCTCTTTGGTTTACATAAGAATACAAATGTTTAGGACATTCTATGGATTCCTTAACAATCTTTTCTTCGTACAACTTTCTAGACTTACGGAGGGTCGAGGCACAGGTATTCCGGACTTTTCGATACTGGGATTTAGTTTCATCAGTTCCCAGTAACCTAAATCTATCCCACATTTTTCTTCTCTTACGAAGAAGTATGCGGACCTCCTTGCTGAACCATGGTGGGGAGTTTCTTGACCCCCCCCTTGGTATAGCCTAAGGGATGTGGGGTGTGGTAACTTTCAATTATGGATTTCGAAATGCGTCCCAGGCCGTTTCAACTGAGTACTCTGGGTCTATAGTCCAATCTACTAATGACGCTGAGTGCATGATATCTGGTATGTTTGCTTTCCAGACGTTAGGTCTGGATTGAGCTAACGCGTGCTCGTGATTGACAGTTATATGGAAGTCGAAAGTTAAAACTGCGTGCTCACTTTCACCTAGGGGTGGCATGTAATGGAGGTTCGCAACATCATCCTCATAGTGAGTCAGTATAAGATCTAATAAGATGATTCAGTGTCCGGATCGTACCTTGTCACTTCTTTCACGTGTTGCACTAGAGCACATGTGATAACCCCATCAACTAGTTCCTGCTCGAAAGAATTCGCCGACGATTTAGTTCGCAAATTTTCCCAGTCTACCATAGGTGCATTAAAGTCCCCTAGGATTAGACATCGACCACTTTGTGACCAAGTATTGAGACTGCTTAACAGGATCTCATTTGCCTCACAGCTTGGACTGCAATAGACCAAGCCAATCAGCAGCTCTTGTCCCTTGCATTTTAAGCGAAGACTAACTAATTCACACGTCCCACTCTCATGGGATACACTATCAATAATGGCAAATGGGATAGCATTCCTAATGAATAAAGCTACTCCCCCTCCTTTGCGCTTTTGTGTTCTGTCGGCCCTTACTAACGTAAAACCCTCGAAATCAAGTTCCATACTATCTATAGCCTGTGTCAGCCAGGTTTCTGTTACTGCGATTATGTCTGGCTTTGTTGAGTCAATCTGTACACTTAGTTCCGATCGCTTATTAAGTAAGCTTCGTGCATTGGTGTAACAGATCCGAAGCCTGTTTAAGTGCCTTCGTGCTTCACCCAGAGTGGCTTCGGCATCATTCTCTGTCGAAATCTCACAACCCGAAAATTTACAATTTTCAGGTCCTTTTCGCCAGCGTCTAACCTTAGTTGTAGTTCTTTCTCGGCTTCCCGTCTTTTAACACGGTCTGTCAACGGTAGGTCCTTTCGGATAAAAACTCCTGAACCCTTTAATTTGTGTCCATTTTGTAAAATTAGGTCACGTTCGTTCGAAGAGTTGAATACTACTTTAAGCGGTCTGGAATGATTTGGTTTCGAGTCCGCTAGACTCCCTAGTCTGTACACCTTTAGCAAGGTGACCCCGGTCATATTTTGAGGCATGAGTTGATTTAGCAGCTGCCTAATCAGTACAATGTCATGCTCAAAACGAGCTTTAGGTTCAGAGCTCTCGCTCTCCTTGATTCTATGAAAAATAGCTGATCTGTCGCTATGATCAGCTTTCGATTTTTCAACTACTTTTACGGGGGCAGGTTTCCCTTTTATATCAATACTTTTCTTCCTTACAACCTTTACCCATTCGTCAACGGTGCTGGTAGAAGCAATAACAGTTGCGTCAAACCTAGTGTTGGATTTTGGGGGGTTGTGGACGGCCTGAGAGGTCGGGTTGTGTTCACCGCTTGAAACCGATCGAGCCTTGCGATTGAGGCTTCTAGGTATTTCCTGTTGGATCCCATCTGGGAGACGGGAAACAGAAGAACCTAATTTTCTTGAGCTTTTGTTTAAGGCAGGCCCCTTTGGAGACTGCTTTTCCTTCTTTGAAGGGCGTGAGTCATCTATCATCGAACTAACCTTAGTTTCCTTCACGTTGATTTGCGTTTCGACAGATCGAGTGCTGTTTGACGCGTTCCGACTATGCTTGCTAAAACACTTCTTTGCAGCATCAACCAGTGAGATGGCCTCGGTTAACGGGCTGTTTGCATCCGAGCAGCACTGTTGACAAAGCCATACACAACCCTTCTTACTGAACCGTTTGAAAGCAGCAGGCGTTAAGTTCGTGCAAACTTCGTGGTACCAGCCTTTGCACTCGTCTCACTGCATGCCGCTTCCAACAGGATAACGACAACCCGGACGTTGGCAACTGCTTTTTTTACACTGTCCGGTCATTTAGGAGGGGTTCTTTTTCAAGATGCGATGATACTCAGAAACAAAAATAATAATCAATGATTAAAAGTGAAGAGCTGCAGATTGCTAGGACCAAATGTACTGACAGATACAGTTGAAAAAGAGGTACTCAAGAGTACCAACGACAAAACTAATTGAGAGAACAGTAAAAACGATACTCTAGTCGAATACTTTAACTGAAATAAATCCAATTAAAGTGAAAACAGTAGTCTTGATACGTAATAAACGATCAAAACATACAAATTTACTCGGCGAGGAAAAATACCACTGTTCTTTTTAAATAGCGCGGATGTTGTTGAAATTGAAGGTATTTACTTCTGTTAAGAACCATAAGATGCCCCTACAGTCTAACCTGCCAATATTTTGTCTCTGATTTCTGACTATGGGCCCCAGGTTGTGTTGTGATTGACCGTAAGTAAGTATTTCAGTGGTTCCCTAGGGTTTCTTAGGGTGTTATTATTCACTAAAAGGTTACCTCCGAAACTTCTACATTATAATGAGTGGGAATCCATCGGTTTTAGGCACTTTTT